AAAATATATTAAAAATAAGTAAGTAAATAAAGTAAAAGGATAAAATCTTAATTTTAAAAAAAGAACACCTTGCAATAGGGCATTAATTATAGGTACTTTTCCTTATCAAAAACCTAGAAAGTCTTTATTATTATTTCTACTGGTGAAATGTTTATTATATAATATCATATGATAATAATATATCAGTAGAAGTAGGGAAAAAAATTTTTTTGATGATAATATGTATTTACCAAACCCTGCTTTAAGTAGATGAAAGTTACACTGTCATCAATTCTGGATGTACAGGATCTGAATTAATGAACTGACATCAGCTTGGCATTCTATGGTTTCTTCACTTTTCTTTGGTCACTTTTTCAAGCATATTTGGCAGCATGGCAGCTCTTATAGAAACTGATTGATATTTTACCCTTTTAGCCCAATCAACATAATACAGTGAAGCTGGGAGCTTTCCAGGCTCAGGAAAAAGAACTGGTGTTTGACATTGACATGACAGACTATGATGATGTGAGGAGATGTTGTAGGTAAGCACCGCAGGCTTTGTTGGTAGAGTGGGTGATGTTGACCGGGAGTAACCATGACTCTCCTCCAGTTCTGCAGACATCTGTTCTAAGTGCTGGACCCTCATGACAATGGCCATACGCATCATCGACCGAGCATTGAAGGGCAAGTATCAGCAGTGTGTGAGTGGGGTCAAATGTAAGAATTTCTTTTCCTCTAAATATTACTCTGTCTATACCATGTTATAATCAAATCCTGTAAATTCCTAACATGTTTCCTTAAAACATGTAATAGGAAAATAAAAGAGTATAATAAAGTTATAGTTGCAACTCTAATAAAACTGTGATCAAACCAGTGAGTTTTTTTCCCAATTCAATCATCTGTTGAGCAGATGTGTCTCAACCAACTCTATGTGCTAGGTGCTGTCCTGCATGAGGGAAATATGAAAGAACAGTTCTTTCCTCAAGTAGGTTACACAGTCTAAGAAGGAGACAAATAAAAAAACTGAAGATTGCATTTGTGTTAAGTAATATGCACAGGGCGCTATAAGAATATAGGACAACAGGAATGGATATACGAATGGGAAAAGACTGGATCAGAAAAGGCTTCCCAGAAGAGGTGATGATAAGGATAACAAAGCTCTGGCCAATGTTCCTCAGTGGTTAGAGGGTTGGACTGCATACCAAAGGGTCTCGGGTTCAATTCCTAGTCAAGGGCACATACCTCGGTTGCAAATTCAATCCCCAGCCCTGGTCAGGGCCCTTGTGGGAGCTACCAAATGATATGTCTCTCATATTGATGTCTCCCTCCCCCCCCTTCCTTCTCCCCAACCTTACCCCCTTCCATGCTCAAAAAAAATCAGTGGAGCCCTAGCCAGTTTGGTTCATTGGTTGGAGCATCAGCCTGTACACTAAAGGGTTCTGGGTTTGATTCTGGACCCAGTCAGGGGTGCATGCAGGAGGCAACCAACTGATGTGTCTCTTTTACATCAGTGTTTCTCCATATGTCTAAAAATTGATGGAAAAAAATATCCTCGGGTAAGGATTAAAAATTTTAGAAAGAATGATAATAAAATAGGGTCTTATTGTGCCAGACCTTGTTCGAAGTCCTTTAAATTTATTAACTCTCTTAACATCCCTTGACCGGGTCTTTAAGGGAGAGAAATGGAAGTGCTGGGGCAGGAGGAAATTCTTGTCCAAGACTAGGATAAAGTCCTAACAGCAAGAGCATGGGGGAGAAAGGGGTGGGAAACTACAATGGTTTAATATAGTTAAAGTGAGTACCTGTGGATAAGAGGTAAAAAAATGAAAATAGGAAGAAAAACCAAGAGTTTATACATTTGTTTTAAAACCTGTTGTCTCGTCTCCTCAGAGGACTTTGGATTTAAGCACCGCCTCTGGGTGTACTCTGGAAGAAGAGGTGTGCATTGCTGGGTCTGTGATGACTCAGTTCGAAAACTGTCCTCCGCAGTACGGTCTGGGATAGTTGAGTATTTGAGCCTTGTAAAGGTAAGCTCTTCTTAATGGTGACTTGCATTTATTTCTTTGATGGATGTTACCGAGCACAGTGTATTTAGTTAACAAAATTAAACTATCTTTTATGGCATCCACTTTCCAGAATAGGTGATCTTACTAGCAGATCAATTAAAATCATAGTGCTATATTTTTTAAAGATATTTCATATTCTGGTTAAGTATCCTCCTTTGTTGCAAAAGGAAAATTAATGGTTTATTTTTCTTGTTCAATTAAGTCAAGTAATGTTAACCCAGAAAGTTATAGGTATTGAAACTATATAAAATAGCATATAAGCTTTTCTATTTTACTTTAGAACACATATGAATGTTTTAATTATTTCATTGATGTCATATAATATACATAAAGGTCTTTTTTGATGGTTTATTTTTCAGGGTGGTCAAGATGTTAAAAAGAAAGTTCACCTAAATGAAAAAATTCACCCGTTTGTCAGGTCTGTTGGAAAAGACTCCATGCAGTTTAAGTTGTGTCTGCTTTACCTGCACACGCTTGTAGTACATGTGTCCTGAGCAAGGAATCATCCCCAAAAGGAGTCACTCACACATGTTTGGTTTTCCACAGTGCCAGGTTTATTAGGGGAGACCTCCCAGTAAGCCAGTAGAGTCCCATCAGGTTCACATAGAGAGGAAGAGCTTACCTGACAGAAACCAACAGAGTGAGTATTCCTCAGGGAAGTCCCAGCCACTGGCAGCATCCGCACGTGGAGAGATGCCTGTTGTCCCAAGCCAGGCAGCTAGAATGGCAGCACAACCGGTGGAGTGGGCTCTGAGTGTTACCCAGGGTACAGCCGGGCTCCAGCATTGGGTGGTTGGAGCTCCGAGTTCTTATAGCCCACCACTGTGATGGTCCCACTAATAGCAGTGTCCATATAGAGTCCTTATCCATCCAGACTGGTGGTTTTGGGCATTCCAGTCCCCTCATAAAGGTGTTCCTATTACACCCCATTACCTCAGCCTTGGCTTAGCATTTGACATCACTGTCATGGTTGATAGTGACAGCAGCAGAGGCATGGTGAGGGCGTCGCATTCCCCTGATCACCGGTTCACTTCCCACAATGGTAGGCCAGAGGCAGCAGCAGCAAGGGGGTGATGGGGGTGGTGCCTTCCCCTGATTGGCCACAGGGAGCAGGCCTGAACTGTCAGTAGGACATCTCTTCGGGCTCCCGGACTTGTGAGAGGGGGCAGGCCCAGCTGAGGGACACCCTGCCCACCATTGCACGGATTTTCATGCAGCAGGCCTCTAGTTTTACGATGATAGCTAGAATTAATTCAGTGTCTCTTGTGTGCTACATATTCCTGATAGGTAGTTGCTTTACAAATGTTCTCATTGCTTTTTCTAACCACCCCATGAGGGATATGATGGTATTTTCATTTAACAGATTAACAAAGTGAGATCTGGAGGGATTATATAATTTGCTTGTTACCATAACCCATACTTCTTCCACTGAATTCACTACTTCGCTAGGATAGTGGAGAGAGCATTGCATTAGGAGTAAGGTCTGTGTTCTGCCAGTTACTCTGACCTTAACAAAATACGATAGCCTCCACTTCCTTATCTGTATAATGGGGAGAACAATATCTGTTCCATCTGTCTTAGAGTTGTGGCAAAAATTAAACGAAACAGTTGGTGTGAACTCTATTTGCAGTTTGCTACGCTCTATACAATTGTTGAGGAGTTAAAACAAGCAATTCAGAGTAGAAACAACTGTAGACTATGCCACATTCTTTTTTTCTTTTCTTTTTTTAATATATTTTATTGATTTTTCAGAGAGGAAGGGAGAGAGGTAGAGAGCTAGAAATGTCGATGAGAGAGAACCATCGACCAGCTGCTTCCTGCACAACCCCCACCGGGGAAGTGCTCGCAACCAATGTACATGCCCTTGACTCAGCATCGAACCCGGGACCCTTCAGTCTGCAGACCGACGCTCTACCACTGAGCCCAACCGGCTTCGGCAACTATGCTACATTCTACTACTGGTGTATTATGTTGTCCTTAGTGGGTTGCTTTCTATGCTTGTTATATACAGGGGTGGGCAAAAGTAGGTATACAGTTGTTCATATGGAAAAATATGTAATACAAGAATAAACTTTTTCTTGCACGTATAACCGTAAACTTACCTTTGCCCACCCCTGTATTTATGATGTTGTTAACCTGCTAAGTTGTGGAGTTTTAAAAGTAAACATTTCTTGAATATTTCTTCTAAGCCAGGCACTATGCTAGGTTCTTTCCCCTTAGGCTTAACTCTCATAACTCTGGGAAGAGTATTAGTCCCCTTTTACCTAGTTAAGTTCTAAAAATTCAGTCAAAAGCTATGTGGGGTATGTGTTGCTAATAGTATTGGGAATTTGTTATTCGTTATGCCTACAGAAAATCTATAAGCATAATAAATAAATACTTTGAAGAATATGCCTTGGTTGATCAAGATATTCTTGGAAGTAAAGAAAGCTGCGATAAGATTTTAGCTCTTATTCCTGAAAATATCCTTTCCCAAGACCATTTCTATGTGAGCTACTTGTATTGATATTATATATGTGTTCTGCCTGCATATTCTCATATACTTAATTTTTTTTAATCTTTTCTAATATTTTTCTCATATAAAAAGATTTTAATCTTTTTATACAAAACATCTCCTGTATTTCTATATTTTTGTATCTGTATTCTGGAATACAATAAGACATGAGGCCATTTCATAAACAAATTTCCTCTTTATGGAAGTTGGTAGTGCTAGGATTAATGGTTATTTAAAGAATGCTGAATCAGTTAGTCAAAATATGTACAGACCAGGGGAAGATTTTAGTTAAACTATATAGTTATTTTGACATTCTGTCAAATTACCACTTTATTTTTACAGGGTTATTTTCTAGTGCTTAATATTTGCATTTTAGAAAACAATTATTTTATATCTAAACTAGGTATTTTATATCTAAACTAGGTATTTTATATCTAAACTAAGTTGTTGATGTGCCCTAAATGAGTATGTTCCTTAATGACCCATCACCAATGCATGATGACCTTCAACCAATCTTCCAAAAGCATCACAGTTCACTTCAGCGTTGGGAGCATTTGAAGAAAGTGGCCATATATCCGGTATATAACATGGAAATCTGTATTATAAATATAATAATATAATTCTTAAACTCTGATTGTTTTGCCATTTAAGTTAAAGACGATTGGAGATCATTTTTTCATCACTTTGAAAGAAATCCTCAAAAGTTTCTACCAATCCTAATGCTGGACTTGCATCTCCTTTTTAGAATGACAAACATGGACACTTGCTTGAGTGGGAGATCATGCTCCAGTACTGTTTTCCTCGGCTGGATATCAATGTTAGCAAAGGAATCAATCATTTGCTGAAGAGCCCTTTTAGTGTTCATCCTAAAACAGGTACTATAAAGAGAAATGAAAGTTATTTGTTTTAGCAAGCATACCACTAGGTGTGAATACATATGATGCCTGACATATTAAAGATTGAGGCCTTGTTCTGACAGTTAAAACCAAAATTAACTTCTTCTTTTTTTTAATAACAGAGGAAGAGAGAGGGAAAGAAACATCAATGATGAGAGAGAACCATTGATTGGCTGCCTCCTGCACACCCCCTACTGGGGATTGAGGCTGCAACATGAGCATGTGTCCTGACCAAGAATCCAACTGTGACCTATTGGTTCATAGGTTCAGCCACTGACCTACACTAGCTGAGCTAACTTATTTTAATTGTTGATTAGTAGCTACTGGATGAGTTTACATATTCAGTTGTGTTTCTGTGGTTCAGTGTTAGAATTAAAGTTGGAGAAGAACTTAGAAATTACAGGACAGTAGCTCTCATTGCACAGATGAGGAAACAGTGGCCCAAGAAGTTAAAGTGACTTGTCTACAGTCTAAAAACAAATTGTTTTAGAGTTAGGAACAGAGTTCATTTCTGAAAACTCGAAGTTCTATGCATTTTCTCCTATGCTGCCTCCCTCAGTAGTTTTTCAATAGTTTTAGCTTTTCTCTTTCACATTTCTCTCATATAAGATTTGATGGACTGAAACTGACTTTACCAGTAAAGTATATTGGCATAACTTTACTCCATCTATTAGAAAAGTATATCATTGTTCTTTTTGGTGTCAACAATCCAACTCTGCCACTGGGTGTGGGATGTTAGGAAAATTGCTTTGTGTACCTTGGTTTTCTCATATGTAAAATGGAGATAATGATAGTACCTACCTCAGTGGGTTATTGTGACCATGTAAAATATAAAGCACTTAGGAAACTGTCACATAGTCAGTTCTCCCAAATTGCCTAGTTTCCCTTAATCTACACTACTAAAAGAGTACCTTCACGATGCCCACCAGCCAATGAGTATGCAAATTAACCCAACAAAGATGGTGGGTTAATTTGCATACACAGGCACCAACGGGGCGGGCAGGATGCTTGTGTCATCGCCATGGCAACAACACAGGTGGTCCACACCCAGCCACTCCAAGCCTCTGGGCAGCATGGGAAGAATAATTCTGGAGCAAAGGCAGTGCTGGCAGCCAGGGGAAGGAAAGCCCATTCTTGCACGAATCTTCGTGTATCGGGCCTTTAATAATCTATAATGACTATAGTCCATACATTTATGTACCTCTTTTTCAAACCTGTCAGCTATGTTTTTAGCTTCTTTTAATAATAAGCTTAATGCCGGGACCGGTTTGGCTCAATGGATAGAGCGTCGGCTTGGGGACTGAAAGGTCCCGGGTTCGATTCTGGTCAAGGGCACGTACCTTGGTTGCGGGCATATCCCCAGAAGGGGGTGTGCAAGAGGCAGCTGATCGATGACTCTCTCTCATCGATGTTTCTGACTATCTCTCTCCCTTCCTCTCTGTACAAAATCAATAAAAAATATATATATTTAAAAAAATAATAATAATAAGCTTAATATTTTAAGTTTAATTCTAAAGCATCAGCCCTAACCAGTTTGGCTCAGTGGATAGAGCATTTGCCTGCAGACGCAGGATCCCAGGTTTGATTCTGGACAAGGGCATGTACCTTGGTTGCAAGCACATCCCCAGTAGGGGGGTGTGCAGGAGGCAGCTGATTGATATTTTTCTCTCATCGATGTTTCTAACTCTCTCTCCCTCTCTCCCTCTCTGTAAGAAATCAATAAGATATATTTTTTAAAATAATAAATAAAGCTTCAATGGAAATCTCCTTATTTTAATATTCAAGGTTTTGGTAAATAATTGTGTCCATTAATAAGTGAATACATTTTGATTATATCCTTTTCCCATTAATTAGCTGCATTCTTTTTACTGTGTCTTTAACATCAACTCTCAATTCCCTTATTTTATTTTGTTCTCATCTATCATTCTTTATATTCATTATCTCATTTTTGAGGTGTGACAAATTTTATGTAGTGTCCCAGGTGTGAATATCATAAAAGGGTAGTGTAATATCTATTTTATTTCCAAAATGCTTTCTCAAGATGCCTAACATATAGGTGTCTGTTTTGATCTCAGCACATAAACTAAGGTAATGAAATGAACTCTTTCCATCTATTTCATTCACTTTCCAAAACTTACTCAATTTGAGATAATTCTGTACTTTACTGGAGAATAATAGGAAGAGGGAGATAGAAATAAAAGTAGAGATGGGAGCAACTAGGTAATAGCTTAACAGTCTTTCACACCTATGTTTTGGTGGTGTTTTTAACAAAATAAAAGGCACAGCTAATATGAAAGTACTTTTAATTTATATTTCTATTGTACTTAACAGATAAGTCTAACCCTTTTATCTAAATTTTAATTTTCTAATTAAGATTTTAGCCAAAACAGCCTATAATGATTTGTATTCACAATCATTCGTTTATAACTTTTGGTTCTTACAGGTCGCATTTCAGTGCCTATTGATTTACAGAAAGTAGATCAGTTTGATCCGTTTACTGTTCCAACCATAAGGTATGTGCCAGATCATTGATCACTTTTCTGTTTGTGATTGTTGTTCTGAATTTGAAGTAGATCGGATTAGATCCCTGCCAGAGAGACAGCCGCTCTGAGGCTACATGATGCCCTAGGAGAGCAACATTTCCTAGTGAGCTCCACAGAGCACTAGTTTTCCAGCTGCTGTTATGCAAGAAGTGTGCTCTCCCTCTCAGGAGCACACTGGCACCTTTCCCTTCCCCTGCATCTTCTCCCGGGTATGTTACTGCTAAACTCTAATGGCCCTTCTTCTGTCTCTATAACTTGTTTCCTAAACCTACACAGCCCAGCTAGCTCACTTTTACTATCTCTGTAACTTTCTAAATGGACTTTCTCTTGTAATTTGGAGGAAAAAGAAAAAGATTTTTAAGTGCAAATAAGTTTGAGAAATGCTAACTTAAACAGATTAAAAGTTCTTTACTGCAAGATTTCCCAGTCTTGGGCATACCCGTAGACTTTGCCTGACTGTGCTCATGGCCAGGCAGGGGGGACAGTGTATGCAAGAGTAATTTGGAGTTTGTGCCAGTTCTAGCCAGCCTATTCAGTGGCTGGATAAGTTGCATTACTTCAACATTTTCCTGCCTCTCAATCTGTGGAGTTATTCATGATGGAGAATGGGAGTGGCATTGAGTCTCTGTTCTTTTTTCCAGTCTTTAATATGCATGGAAAACTCCAAGAAGAGATTATGGCTTTTAGAATATCCCAAATTAGTTGGCCATATAGTTTTTTTCACAGAAAATCTTGAGAGATTCATGTGCTATGATACACTAAGTAATGTTGACCAAGAACCGACTTTAAAATTCTCTAATTCTATTATTTGTAGCTCCATCTGCCATGAATTAGATGCCATTTCCACTAATGAAGAAGAAAAAGAGGAGAACAAAACTGAATCCGATAACAAACATAGAACCAGAGGTAGGTTAATATGTTGAAGTCTCTCTTTTTTTTTTTTTAATATTTTATTGATTTTTTTACAGAAAGGAAGGGAGATGGAGAGAGAGCTAGAAACGTCAATGAGAGAGAAACGTCAACCAGCTGCCTCTTGCACATCCACTACTGGGGATGTGCCCACAACCAAGGTACATGCCCTTGACCGGAATCGAACCTGGGACCTTTCAGTCCACAGACTGATGCTCTACCACTGAGCCAAACCGGTTTCGGCATGTTGAAGTCTCATTTTAACATAAGCTTTTTACATAGACATCCTTCTGCCACTCTAGAAATTAATTCTCCTTGGATTTGCCCAGAATGGAGCAATGCTTGTCCTGAAACCAACTCAATAGCAAATAATGTAATAACAATATTTCTCTCTTTCAGCAAATGCCCACCCCATTGGTGCTGTTAAATCGAGTCATCAATTATTTACTAAGCAATATCTAAATGCCAGGATCTGCCCTAGCCGGTGTGGCTCAGTGGATAGACGTCGGCCTGCGGACTCAAGGGTCCCAGGTTCGATTCCGGTCAAGGGCATGTACCTTAGTTGCGGACAGATACCCAATGGGGCATGTGCAAGAGGCAGCTGATCAATGCTTCTCTCTCATCGATGTTTCTAATTCTCTATCCCTCTCTCTTCCTCTCTGTAAAAAAATCAGTAAAATTATATTTTTTTTAAAAAATCTAAATGCCAGGATCTACATTGCAAGATTAGGTTGTCAACTGATATTGATAATTGTTTAAATCTCACTCTTAGATTCAAAAGCTATTTATTTATTTATTTTAAAATATACATTTATTTTTTTTTTTTAGAGAGAGAAAGGGAGAGGGATAGAGAAATAGAACATCTAAGTGGATAAGAGAGAATCTTTGATCGGCTGCCTCCTGCATGCCCTCTACTGGGTAACGAGCCTCCAACCTGGGAATGTGCTCTGACCAGGAATCAAACCGTTGATGGGTCTTTGGTTGATAGGTCGTTGCTCAACCACTGAGCCACACCAATTGAGCAATAGCTGTTTATTAAACAACTATATATGGTATGCAGTACTTTAGTCCTTAACTTTGTTTTTGATGTATCCACATGAGTGGTATGGTAAACATATGTCTCAACTGTGATTGAATTGTATATTCCAGAATTTATAATTTGTAAATTCAAGAATTTACAATTTGTAGGTTCAAGAATTTACAAGTCTCCCTGCTAATGGAAGTCAAATCTTATATCAACAGCCAAGAGACACTCTGTAATAGAGTCCATGATAATGGAAATGTTATGCACTGCCCAGTATGGTAGTCACTAGCCACATGTGGCTTTTGAGCACTTGAAATGTAAAAAACTGGAATTTTAATTTCATTTAATTTTCAGTTAAATAGCCACATGTAGCTAATGATTACTCTAATGGGCAGAGCAGATCTGTGATCTCTGTTTAACCATTTTTAGTCAAATGTTGCTACCCTTTCAAAGCCCAAGCTCAAATATCACTTTATTTCAGCTCTAATGTAATACCTAAACATAGTACATTCCACTAATAAAGTTTATGGAGTAATTACAAAAGTATTCTGTTCAAAATATTTGAAAAATCAGAATACCAATAAACTGGAAAAAGAAACTCAGAGAGCCCTAGCTGGTTTGGCTCAGTGGGTAGAGCGTCAGCCTGCAGATTGAAAGGTCCCAGGTTCACTTCCGGTCAAGGGCATGGTTGCAGGCTTGATCCAGGTCCTGATCAGGGCACATGTGGGAGGCAGCCAATCGATGTGTCTCTCTCACATTGATGTTTCTGTATCTTCCCCTCCTTTCCACTCTCTCTAAAATACAATGGAAAAGTATGTTCAAATAAGGATTAACAAAGAAAAGGAAAAAGGAACTCAGAGAAAAGAGACAATGAAAGGAACAAAAGAAACCTTTTTTAAAACCACTAATATCTCAGCACAGCTGGGTGTGGCTCAGTGGTTGAGCATCAACCTATGAACCAGGACATCATAGTTCAATTCCTGACCAGGGCACATTCCCGGGTTTCAGGCTTGGTCCCCATTGTGGGCATGCAGGAAGCAGCTGCTTAAATGATTTTTCTCTCATCATTGATATTTCTATCTCTCCCTCTCCTTTCTCTATAAAAATTTAAAAAATACTATCTCAGAGAATAAGAAGATAATACATCCATCAGGTAAGATCAGAATACTATAAAAAAGAAACACTTGTAAAACAAGAAAGAGCCCTGGCCAGGTAGCTCAGTTGGTTAGAGTGTTGTCCCTAGCCAAGGTGTGGGTTCAGTCCCGGCCAGGGCACATACTAGAACCAAGCAATGAACGCATAAGTAAGTGGAACACCAAATCAATGTGTGTGTCTCTCTCCTTTCCTCTTTTTCTAATGTCAATAAAATTTAAAAATTTAAAATCAAACAAGAAAGAGGTCTTAGAAATAAAAGTCCTTAGAATAAAAAGTTCACTGTAAGGGTTGGAAAAGAATAATTGAGATTTTCCAGAAAGTAATACAAAAATGGTGGCAGTGGTGGTGATGGTTATTGTTTTAAGGAGTTAAAACTAGAAAACTATTTCAGGAGTTTCAAAAAAAGAAATAAGCCAAAACCGGTTTGGCTCAGTGGTAGAGCGTCGGTCTGCGGGCTGAGAGGTCCCGGGTTCGATTCCGGTCAAGGGCATGTACGTTGGTTGCGGGCATATCCCCGGTAGGGGGTGTGCAAGAGGCAGCTGGTCGATATTTCTCTCTCATCAACGTTTCTAGCTCTCTAACTCTCTCCCTTCCTCTCTGTAAAAAATCAATAAAATAATAAAAATAAATAAATAAATAATTTTAAAAAAGAAATAAAACAGAGAAGAAATAATTGTCAAAATTACATAGGAAAAAAACCCTGTAATGAGTACTATCTTCAAAGAGCTCAGCATAATAGGAAAAAGACCTATATATCATTTGGAATTTCAGAACACTGAGGATTAAGAAAAGATCTTAAGAGCTTTCAGACCCCAGCCTACTTTTCTCATCCTCTCTCCCAAAAAAAAAAGCAGACATAGAAGGAATGCCCTCATGCCGAAACCGGTTTGGCTCAGTGGTAGAGCATTGATCTGAGGACTGAAAGATCCCAGGTTTGATTCTGGTCAGGGGCATGTACCTTGGTTGCGGGCACATCCCCAGTAGGGGGTGTGCAAGAGGCAGCTGATCGATGATTCTCTCTCATCGATGTTTCTAACTCTCTATCCCTCTCTCTTCCTCTCTGTAAAAAATCAATAAAAATATATTTAAAAATAAATAAATAAATAAATAAATAAAGGAATGCCCTCAGATTTCTAAATAACAATGAAAGCGTTCATTTGTTAGAAATGGGTGCTAGAAAAGAAAAATCGGTTTCCATTCAAGAAGATGGTCAGAAGTAAGGCAGGGAGCTGATACTTACATTATAAACCTGTTAGTACAGCTACTGTGGCTCCGTTGGTTGGGCATGATCCCGTGTACCAAAAGGTTGCTGATTCGATTCGTGGTCAGGGCACATGCCTGGGTTGCAGGTTTGATCCCCAATAGGGGGTGTGCAGGAGGCAGCCAATCAGTGTTCCACCCTCAGCCACCCAAGGCCGGCCCGAGGCGCATGCAAGCCTCAGGCAGCGGCTGCCCATCCGCCCAGGGCCGGCCCATTGATGTTTCTCTTTTTGTTTATTTTTAATCCTTACTCAAGGATATGCTTTTATTGATTTGAGAAAGAGAGGAACAGGGAGGGAGGGAGAGAGAGAGAAACATCAATTGGCTGCCTCCCCCACATGCCCAACTGAGGATTGAAATTGCAACCTTGGTATGTGCCCCAACCAGGAATTGAACCCACGACCCTTCATGGGAGGGCACTCCAACCAACAGCCACACCAGCCAGGGTCTATTAATTTAATATTCTCTCTTTGTGGATATCTTTTTCTGTTGTTCAGGGGTTTTAAAGAAGCATGTTTTGGCTCTTAAAGGAGAAATTTTCTAATATAACTGTTCAAAAGCAAACTGAACTGCCTATCATTTCAAGTATGCATAAATAAGCTAATAATCATCATTCAGTCAGGGATGCTTTAGAGGTGGTGGGAGGTTGAAATAATTGGTACGAAGTTCCTTATTATCTCCGGTAACTGATTTTAAGTCTTTGCCTTATTTCATACTAGAGGCCCAGTGCGTGAAAATCATGCATTGGATGGTGGGGTCCCTCAGCTTGGCCTGCCCCCTCTCACTGACACAGTTCATAGCCACTTTAGTCAATATTGATTGGTCAATTCTTTGGGCTCATAATTATCCATAGGCCTATTTGGTTTTTATTTATAAACTAGAGGCCTGGTGCATGAAAATTCGTGCACTAGAGGGTGGTCCCTCAGCCCTGCCTGCCCTCACAGTCTGGGAGCCCTCAGGGGCAGGAGGCGACCCAACAGTGAGGGGAAGGCAACACCCCATCACACCTCTGCTGCTGCCACTGCTAGCAGCACAGGTCTTGGGCGGCCCTGGTTGCATGAGCCTTGGGCGGCTGGGCAGCCACCATCCAAGGCTTGCCTGTGCCTTGGGCCAGCCTTGGGCAGCTGGGGGGCTGAAGGGACAGGGGGACTCTGGAGGCAGGCACCCTGGCAGGCCTGAGGGGATTGGAAACCGCCATCTTGTGGCTGTGGGTACCACCATCTTTGAGGGCATGGCAGTCAATTAGCATATTCCCTCCTTATTGGCTGTGGGCACCACTATCTTTGTAAGGGTATGGTGGTCAATTAACATATTCCCTTTATTAGATAGGACTAGTAGTCCTGTGCTCAAATCCGTGCACCAGTAGCTCACCATTAGCTCGCTGCTGCCCTCCAGTAGCTCTTCACCATGGCCCTGCCCCCTCCTGTAGCCCTCTACCACCTCCTTGTAGCTCGCTGCCCCACCCTCCTGCTAATCTGTGATCCGGTCATTACTAGGTCAGTCGTTACACTTCACGGCATAACAACCATTTGCATATTACATCTTTATTTTATAGGTTTCCTGTTATTACATGTAGAGCTTGTTTTTCCAATTTTTAAAAAAACTTCTTGAGCCCTGGCTGGTTTGGCTCAATGGATAGAGCATCAGCCTGTGGATCCCAGCCTGTGTTCTATTCTGGTCAAGGGCACATGCCCAATTGCAGGCTCAATTCCCAGTAGAGGGCATGCAGGAGGTAGCTGATCAATGATTTTCATCATTGATGTTTCTATCTCTTTCCTGTCCTCTCTAAAATTAATAAAAATATATTAATTTTTATTAATATATTTTTAAGTCCCAAGTAAATTAAATCACATTTAATAAATTTTTTAAGTATAATTTATTTTTGTAATCTTTTCAGGAACTATTGTGAGGACTTTTAATTCCATGCAGACATAACACACTACCAAAATCTAAATCTCATTTTGTTTTTAATACCTCATTTTGTCTTATACTCTTTGTTGTTGTGAATCCTCACCCCCAAGAATATTTTTTCCATTGATTTTTAGAGAGAATAGAAGGGAGCAGGGGAAGGGAGAAGGGGAGAGAGAGAGACATTCATCCACTGATTGCCTCCCACACACACCCTGATGGGGGCTGGGATTGAACTTGCAACCCAGGGACATGCCCTTGACTAGAAATCAAACCCTTAACTCTCTGGTGCCCAGCCTTCCAGACAAAGCCATGGTGGCAGGGATGACTAGGGATGACTAGGCCAGCATGGAGGGGGTAGTTGGGAGCGAGCATGCTGGCAGAGGGGGCAGTTGAGGGCAAGCAGGCTGGGAGAGGGGGAGAGGAGGGGCAGTTGGGGGTGAGCAGGCTGCAGGCAGTGGATAGGAGCCAGTGGTCCCAGATTGCAAGAGGGATGTCTCACTGCCGGGATGTCCCAGATTGGAGAGGGTGCAGGCCAGGTTGAGGGACTCACTTCCCATGCATGAATTTTGTGCACCAAACCACTAGTTTAGTATATATTACACAGTGTTGAAACAAATGTATTGACCTACATTCAAGAAGCTTAAAATCTTGAATTAAAGATTCTAAGTTCTATGTAGTTGTTCCCAAACTAAATCATTTCTTTGGTATAAGTTTATTTATTATAAGAAAATTCATATGTAAAGATTTACAATAAAATTATAATGTATTTTCATAACTGCCATAGATCAGATATTCATCCTTTTTTTAAATATATATATTTTTATAGATTCCAGAGAGAAAAAGGAAAGGGAGAGAAAGAGAAACAACGATGAGTTATCGATTGGCCGCCTCCTGCACTCCCCCTACTGGGGATGGAGCCTGCAACCCACGCATGTGCCCTTCACCAGAATCGAACTCGGGACCTTTCAGTTTTGCAAGCCGCCTCTCTATCCACTGAGCTAAACAAGCCAGAGCCAGATATTCATCCTTAATACTCACATTAGGATTCCATTTCCAGTCCCAATTAAATTTAATCACATTTAATAATTTTTTAAGTATAATTTATTTTTGTACTCTTTTCAGGAACTATTGTGAGGACTTTTAATTCCATGCAGACATAACACACTACCAAAATCTAAATCTCATTTTGTTTCAAATTTTTCTCCCCCCTATTGGGTATTAATTGTAGATTGTATAATTAAATGGATAGTTGAGGTTCTGCCGAAACCGGTTTGGCTCAGTGGATAGAGCGTTGGCTTGGGGACTGAAGGGACCCGGGTTCGATTCCGGTCAAGGGCATGTACCTTGGTTGCGGGCATATCCCCAGTGGGGGGTGTGCAAGAGGCAGCTGATCGATGACTCTCATCGATGTTTCTAACTCTCTGTCTCTCTCCCTTCCTCTCTGTACAAAATCAATAAAATATATATATTAAAAAAAATAAAATAAAAAAAATAAAAAAAAAAAAATAAATGGATAGTTGAGGTTCTATATTCAAAATTTTGTACAGACTACTTATATATCAAAGAATACTTGTACCTAATGCATTGTGTCCACAAACTTTTGATCATCTCCAGAAGGCATGGCCCTGACTTCACATTTTAATGTTTTGCTCTGTTGGTAAAACTGTTATTGAAGCCACACTTTATAAAGCAAGAAATGTTGGCTGGAACTTGACACATAACAATAGATTATATCGGTCGAATACTAGAAAGCCTGACTACTGCAGTAGATGTGTCCATGAGGTTTAGAGGTGCTCGAGCAGTGCTGTCTGCTACAGCAGCCACCTGTAGCTATTGGCACTTGAAATGTGGCTGGTATTAAAACTAAGGAACTAATTTTTAATTTTAATTGATTTAAATTTAAAAACTGGTGGTTAAGCCCTGACTGGTTTGGCTCAGTGGCTAGAACGTCGGACTGCGGACTCAAGGGTCCCAAGTTTGATTCCATTCAAGGGCATGTACCTTGGTTGTGGCCTCATCCCCAGTAGGAGGTGTGCAGGAGGCAGCTGATCAATATTTCTCTCTCATTGATGTTTCTAACTATCCCTCTCTCTTCCTCTCTGTAAAAAAAATCAATAAAATATTTTTTTAAAAACTGTTGATTTAATTATTAGAAAACTTTTATGTGTGTTTGGAAATTTGGGGTATATGAGCCTACTTTTTTAATTATATGTTTTATAATTTAAATATAGATCAAGTATTTCTGATGATAGCATAGCATTTAAATTGAGATGTAAAAGTACAAAATACTAGATTTCTGAGACTTAGTATGAAAGCAGTATGAGATTTTTCCGTTTTTATTATACTTTGAAATAATATTTTAGATATTTATATTGGGATGAGTTAAAATATTAAAATCAATTTCACCTTTTTAATGTGGCTACTAGACTGTTTAAAATTATATGTTTTTCATATTTCTATTAGACAACATTGTTATAGAATTCTTTTAAGAAACTTAAAATTATACTTTCATGTTATTCTTGCTGCCAAAATGCTAATTTTAATACATGGTCTTTATAATTTAGATTATAAGAAGACGAGTCTAGGTCCTTACGTAAAAGTTTTTGAAAAGTTTCTTGAAAACCTGGATAAATCCCGAAAAGGAGAACTTCTCAAGAAGAGTGGTAAGACTATGCCTTTTCCTTTTAGCTATTTAGATCTTAGTATATTAGTTTAAAACATCCAACAAGTGAACAATTTTAGACCTCTAATCCTTGCCCTCCCTAAAATGTTATTAATTTATCTTACTGTCCTTAGTGTTTTTAAAAATTAAGGTCCCTTAATTCAGTTCAACACATATTTATTAAAACACCTTCCAACTGTAAGGTACTATGTGGGAAACAAAGATGAATTATACAAAGATGAATTCCACACCATGCCTTCCTGCCCTGAGGAAGTACTAACTGATACAAAATACTAAAAAAGAGATAACATCAGATTAAAATAACTTGAAAAGATTTCATATGCTTCAGTATGCTGCTATAAGAAGTCTAATCCCCCAGTGTGCCAATATATCATGCCTTAAAGTATGAGTAATATTTCCACAAGTAGATTTGATAAGATCGGGGTACGGGAGTGGAAAAAAGGGGACAGTTTATTCATTGTTGAAGCAAAGGCATAGAAACAAAAAAGCATTGGGTCACTGTGAAGGCCATCAAGTAGTATGGCTAATCTGGAAAAAGACCTGTCAGGAAGTGGTGAGATAGAAATCTGAAGAAGCAGACTAAGAAAAGGAGTCTCGTGATGTGTAGTTTTGTCATAAAGATAAATCTAACAACAGTGTATACGGAGAGAGATAGGGGATAGAAAGTGCCCAAGAGGCCAATTGGGCTGTTACCATTAGGGCAGTATCCAAAAGCTGCAATCCTTGAGGCTCGGTAAGGATTTACAAGTGGAGAGAGAAAAGATGGAGGTAACAGTGCCACAGAAGCCAAGAGAAAGGAAAGTTTTGAGAGTATCAAGTTTTGCCGAAACCGGTTTGGCTCAGTGGATAGAGCGTCGGCCTGCGGACTGAAAGGTCTCAGGTTTGATTCGGGTCAAGGGCATGTACCTTGGTTGTGGGCACATCCCCAGTAGGGGGTGTGCAAGAGGCAGCTGATTGATGTCTCTCTCTCATCGATGTTTCTAGCCTTTTTTTTTTTTTTTAATATATATTTTATTGATTTTTTACAAAGAAGAAGGGAGAGAGATAGAGAGTTAGAAACATCAATGGAAGAGAAACATTCAGACCAGCTGCCTCCTGCACACCTCCCACTGGGGATGTGCCCACAACCAATGTACATGCCCTTGACCGGAATCGAACCTGGGACCCTTCAGTCTGCAGGCTGACGCTCTACTCCCTGAGCTAAACCGGCTTCGGCTGTTTCTAGCTTTTTATCCCTCTCTCTTCCTCTCTGTAAAAACTCAAAAAATATATATATTTTTTAAAAGTATCAAGTTTCAAATGCAGTAGGTAACTGATAAAATCCTGTTGAATATAGGAGCTAGAGGGAGGTGCTAAGAGTATAATATAGCAGTGTCAAAGGAAGCATTCTTTGGATAGGTGGATAGGAGGGACCAGAGCATGTGTGTACACCAAAAGAAAAAAGTCAGTCGTGAATATTATTTAAGAGATTGATAAAGCCGAAACTGTTTTGGCTCAATGGATAGAGCGTCAGCCTACAGACTGAAAGGTCCCAGGTTCAATTCCAGTCAAGGGCATGTACCTTGGTTTCGGGCACATCCCCAGTTGGGGAGGGGTGGGGGGGGTGCAAGAGGCAGTTGATAGATGATTCTCTCTCATTGATGTTTCTCTCTATCCTCTCTCTTCCTCTCTGTAAAAAATCAATAAAATATATTTTTTTAAAGAGAGAGATTGATGAATACCATGGAAAATTGTGCCAACATTATAGAAATATAGACTCCCTTCCTGCTTCACAATAAAATGTGTGATGGCTAAACAGTAGTGCCTAAAATAATGCTCTATTCATAGTAGATACTCAAATATGTGCGTGTTGAATGAACAATGATGATGACTCTGAGCTTGGAAAGCCTTGTTAAAGCTGCCATTCCAACTGGCGATATTTGTATTCTTCTTCTGTACTAGCCCAGCCTATAGTGTGGGCTTCAGTAAATGTGAAAGCAAATCTTTAGTCTTTTTTTATTTTTTTATTTAGTGGAAGCATCAAGCAAGTCAGAATGAGCTTTGTTTCGTTTTCCTTTACTATCCTCTGATAAAAATCTGTTCTATTTTAGATTTACAAAAAGACTTCTGATGAGAACAACTTCCCTCCAACTAATGTGGATAACTTCTATCTTCAACCAAGAATCAAAACTTCAAGAGTCATTAAATAAATATGGCAGAACCTTGTATGCATTTTAATACTCAAAACAAAATTTCCTTTTCTTGAGGAATAATTATGTTGAAAAGATTCCTAAGACCACCAAAGCAGTGTCCAGGCTGCTGGAAGGAACAATAATGGGCAGGATAAGTCAATTGCAGATAAATTTGTAAAAATTTAACATTATATAAAGACTAGAGGTCCATGCACAAAATTCATGCACACACAGGTAGTATTCCTATTGGCTGCCGCTGGCCGGGGCCTCCCTTCCCTCAGTTGGCCGCTGGCCCCGCCTCCTGGTTGAACTCCCAGTCAAACCCCCAGTTGGAACAATTTGCACATTAGACTTTTATCATATAAGATAATTCTAAGATTTCTGTTATAAATACTTTTAACAGTTGCTATATAGAGAGGTAACTAAACAATATTATGCCCAAGACTTTAATCTCAGCTTGCTGGATACAGCATCCATATTTTGGGAATGAATATTCTAGGTGAATTAAAGCTTTATCCTTAAGTCATAGACACTTCATTATACTTGCAGTGTGTATTCAGTCACTTCTCTTAACGGTTTCACGCCCTCATGCTGCCAGGTGGAATCCTCCGGATGGACTGCGCGATCCCACTCGTGTTTACCTCTTAACGGTGTATTCAGTCACTTTGCTTACTAATATTTTTTTTTAATATATTTTATTGATTTTTTACAGAGAGGAAAGGAGAGAGATAGAGAGCTAGAAACGTCGATGAGAGAGAAACATCATCCAGCTGCCTCTTGCACACTCCCTACTGGGGATGTGCCCGCAACCAATGTACATGCCCTTGACAGAATCGAACCTGGGACCTTTCAGTCTGCAGACCGACGCTCTACCACTGAGCCAAACCGGTTTCGGCTGCTTACTAATATTTTTATAGATCAGTCCACACCCCAATGCCCATCTTTTAAAAATCATTTTAAACTGAGCATCTAAATCTACCAAAAGTTTAATTCAAAAGACATGAGATACTAGATTATAATATGGCCTAGTATTGTTTGCAACTGCTATAATCGAAGCTCCTTAGATTACAGAACAATTGGAACAATTAAATTAGTCTGCATCGTAAAGAAGCAGCTTAGAAAAAAAAAGTCTAACTTCACCAACATAAAACCTGTTATACTTGTCAAACACTTGGACTTTCTATATATCCAGGTAACTAAAGTTTTCATTTCTCCTGAATTTGATTTTGTGTGATAGATTCTAAAGTGCCAGATTTCTTTTTTTCTGGTTTAACAACCAGTCTCAGTAAGACATCCCTTTTGCCCTAGCCCGTATGGCTCAGTGGATAGAGTGCTGGCCTACAGAACAAAGGGTCCTGGGTTTGATTCCAGTCAAGGGCACTATGTCAGTTGCAGGCTCCTCCCCAGCCTGGGCCTGGTCAGGGCATGTGCAGCAGGTAACCAATCGATGTGTTTCTCTTTCCCTCCTTCTTCCACTCTGTAAAACCAATGGAAAAATATCCTCAGTCAATAAAGTAAAGAAAAGGAAAAATATCCTCAGATTCAAAACAAAAAACAAAAAAATCCCTTTTGGTTTGCATTGTCTTCTGAGAAATACTGGGAAGCAAACTGGTACTTTCTGTGACTTATGAAAATATTTCTTCCTTTGCATTTCTTTTAACATTGTTTTCTCTATAGCCACACAGTCTTTTTTTTATATAATCTTTTGGTTTATATCAAACCCTAAAATACAGTCAACATACTGAAATGCCTTGCATTTCTTTCTCTTCTAATTTTTTAAGAAAAAATATTAAAGATTATAGTTCAAAATTCTGCATTACTTGAACTTCTGTGTACTATGTATTGTTCAGTCTTCAAGTTTGGGGGAAAGTGGGCCAATTGAAATTCCTAAATACAAAATTAATAAAGACTCATTGGTCCACCTTAAGAACTTAGAATGAGAATAGGATTGTTGTTACACTTTCAATAAGATCTTTTAAGCTTCTAACAAGTCCTGCATTGAAGTATTTCAGTGCTTTAATATAGTCCTTGGATATTGGTATACTAGCCCATAAAATTAATTATAAAACATATCATGCACATGTAATAATAAATGTTTGATTCCTGACAGCAGAAAAATACTCAAAGACTATTGACTTTCCTACCCTGGCTGGTGTGTGCAATGGTTAGAGCATTGGCCCATGCACTGAAGGGTCTCATGTTCAATTCCCAATCAAGGCCACATACCTGGGTTTCAGAAGGCAATCTGTGGATCAGTATTTCTCTCTTCTCACTCTCTGAAAAGCAATGGGAAAAATATCCTCAGGCAAGTATTAAAAAAAAAAAAAAAAAGACTATTGACTTATTTTATTTGCCAACTCCTATATATGTAAAAATTCTAGAAACAAAGGGCATAGCCGAAACTGGTTTGGCTCAGTGGATAGAGCATCGGCCTGTGGACTGAAGGGTCCCAGGTTCGATTCTGGTCAAGGGCATGTACCTTGGTTGCGGGCACATCCCCAGTAGGGGGTGTGCAAGAGGCAACTGATGGATGATTCTCTCGCATCGATGTTTCTAACTATCCCTCTCTCTTCCTCTCTGTAAAAGAATCAATAAAATATATTTTAAAAAGAAACAAAGGGCATAGAACTGGTTTCCATTTTCAAACTTGTCCAATTTATAAGAAACCCAAAGAAAGAAAATAGACCCTTCCCTAGTAAGTTAGAAACAGCAGAGTTAGAAAAGTTAGTGGGCTTTTTGGGAAAGAAAGGGGAATGGTAAAAATGTAGGTAGTTTTATTTGTCTAAAGAGGTAATTGCCAATTGCTGGACTTTTCTTCTCAAAGTAAGTAGACTACATTGACTAATCTTCCAGATCACTTATTTACTTAAGTAGAAATTCTACCTATAAGTTTAATCCTAGATAATAAAGAGGTGAATGCAAATTGACCCTTGTGTTGCCTACGACCAAGCCTACAGGGGAGTTAGTGAGGGGCGACCAAACTGAACAAAACAGGCTGTGTGGGGTGACCAGGCCAGCATGGGGGGGGAGGGGGCAGTTGGGGGCAACCAGGCAGGCAGGCAGGTGAACGATTAGGAGCCAGCAGTCCAGGATTAGAGAGGGTGCAGGCTAGGCTAAGGCCCCTTCGCACCCCCCCCCCCACACACACACACACACACACAAATTTCATGCACCGGGCCTCTAGTAGTAACAATAAATACGTTTTAAGTAATGTACATATTTTACCTAATTTAATCTTCCTAACAATCCTATTAAGTAACTGCCATTATCAGCAGGTGAAGAAATTAGGCACAAATTGATTAATTGCCTAAGGTCACTATTAGGTAACCAAGCTCAGATTCAAAGTAATCTGATTTCAGAGTCCATTTTTTTTTTTTAATATATTTTATTGATTTTTCACAGAGAGGAAGAGAGAGGGATAGAGAGTTAGAAACATCGATGAGGGAGAATCATCGATCAGCTGCCTCTTGCACACCCCCTACTGGGGATATGCCCGCAACCAAGGTACATGCCCTTGACCGGAATCGAACCCGGGACCTTTCAGTCCGCAGACCGACGCTCTACCACTGAGCCAAACCGGTTTCGGCAGTTTTTTTGTTTTGTTTTGTTTTGTTTTAATTTTAGAGAGAAACATCAATTTGTTCCATTTATTTATGCATTCATTTGGTTGCTTCTTATATGTGCTCTGACCAGGGGTGAAACCCAAACCTTGGTTTAAACAGGTCCATGCTCTAACCAACTGAGTTACCTGTCCAGGGCCCATAGTCTGTTTTTTTAATCGCTCCACATATTGTCTCTCTTATTTGAAGAGAATTTCTCACTCCTGGTAAACACTATCTCATTTAATCCTAATCTCACTTCATTATGGTAAAAATTTTGAAAATTTTAAAGTAGCTTTCAGAGCATTTAAAATGTTCACTGCCACAATTGTCTTAAAGCCATAGGTCAAACAGATAGTGTTAACCAGTTCAGGTAATATACTGTATTTGTTGAGTCCTTTTGTATGGGGCTGACAGAGTATGGGAGTCAGAGCCTTTTCATTAACAAAACACTGATTTTACATTCTACTTTTCAAGAATATTACTGGGGCCTAACCGGTTTGGCTCAGTGGATAGAGCATCAGGGTCCCAGGTTCAATTCTGGTTTAGGGCATGTACCTTGGTTTCAGGCACATCCCCAGTGGGGAGTGTACAGGAAACAGCTGAATTGATGTTTCTCTCTCATCGATATTTCTGACTCTATCCCTCTCCTTTCCTCTCTGTAAAAAATCAATAAAATATATTTAATTTCAAAAAAATGTTTACTGGGCCCTGTAGTATTCTACCAGGTCTCAATTGGTTAGAGCATCATCCTGCTATGCCAGGGTTGCAGGCTCCATCCCTGATCAGGACACATACAAGAATCAAACATTGGCCGAAACCGGTTTGGCTCAGTGTAGAGCGACGGTCTGCAGACAAAGGTCCCAGGTTCGATTCCGGTAAGGGGCATGTACGTTGGTTGCGGGCGCATCCCCGGTGGGGGGTGTGCAAGAGGCAGCTGATCAATGTTTCTCTCTCATCGATGTTTCTAGCTCTCTGTCTCTCTCCCTTCTCTGTAAAAAATCAATAAAATATATTTTTTTAAAAAAGAATCAAACATTGAATGCACAAATAAGTGTGACAACAAATCAATGTTTCTTGATAATATTCTAATAACTATGTGTGGTGTCATACGGGTGCTAAATTTGGTGTCATATGGGTGCTAAATTTATCAAGATGATCACTTAGCCATGTAATGTCTAATCACTGGGGTGTACACCTAAAACTAATATAATGTATGTCGACTGTAATTGGAAATAAATTATTTTTTAAATATATTTTTAAAAACATCGATCAGCTTGCCTCCTGCACGCCCCCTACTGGGGATGTGCCCGCAACCAAGGTACATGCCCTTCACCAATATCGAACCTGGGACTTTTCAGTCCACAGGCCGACGCTCTATCCAGTGAGCCAAACCAGCTTTGGCAAAAAAATTATTTTTTAAAAAGAAATGTTTTTCAATCCCGCTCTAAAAAAAATAAAAAGACTACCTTATGGGTACTTAATGTGGGATGCTGGATCCAAATGAATGAGTTTCAGGATATCTAATAAGCGCAGACAAAAAGAATTGTATATGACTTCAAGACCAGTCAAAATTGTGTATACCAAAATAAGGGTTAACCTGTAGGTCGCTGCTACCTTACAATGGTGCGAATACAATCTCTGTAGCCTTCCATATTATTTAAAACCTCTTTATTTTCCTGCATTATTTGAGAAAGGAAAAAACAAAAGTCGAAATAATAGCGATGGACTATTTGCAGAGGTAGGTGGCTTCTCTCGGTGCATTTACCGGTCTTTCACGTATCAATACGCTCCAACAGGGGGAACGGGAGGGGGTCGGCTATCTCCGGACCACGTGACTCGGAGCAGGAAGTTCCCGGCAGCCCCGCGCGCCCAGTTCCGAATCCTTCCCCTTATTTAGACCTCGTCTACACCCCTGTTTGGGAAAAGACGCGCACGGGTCACTAAGTTAGAGGAAGTGACTGGCTGCGGCTCCTGACCCGGAAGCGGTTCCTAGTCCCTCCCCCTCCGGCCCGGCTTCCTCCTGCAACAGGCGTGGGTCACGCTGCCGCTCGCTCTCTTTCTGCCGCCATCTTGGTTCCGCGTTCCCCGCACAGTAAGTTGTGTCTTCGCCGTCCCTCTATCCGCAGCCATCCGCCTTTCTTGCGGCTTAAGCCACCCCGGGGGGCTGAGACCTAAAGAGAGTCAGAGGCTTTAAGTGGCCGCCCGGTCCCTGCTTGACCCTGGGAACTATGGCCTCGGTGTCTCCGGACAAAATGGGGTCTGCGGTTGGTGTCCTGGCAAAGAGCAGGGCAGAAGGGCGGCAGGCCGGGCTGCTCGTCCGGGGCTGGCATTGCGGGGGCCTTGGCGGGGGCGGGGGCGGGGGCTGCAGCGAAGTGTGTGTGCTGTTGGGAACGGCCTCAGGAAAGCCCGGAGGAGGTTAAGGGGTCACGGCCTTGGAAGTCCGCCTTTCCCACCTCCCCCCCCCCCCCACACACACACACACGCTCGTTCGTATCGTGACGAGTGTTTGGGGCTGAGGGCGCCCTCTTTTCCCTCCTGATCCCCCTAAGTCGGCAGACGGGAGTCGCGGGGGTCCAGCCGGTGGCGTGGACGTGGGAGGGAGGTGGTGACGGGAGCGTCTCCCACGGTCGGAGCCAGCCGGGCTCCTCTCGGGGTGCGGACGCGGCGCTGAGTGCTGCCCGTGGGGGGTCGGGGACGTGGACCCAGGTGAACCCCCGGGACCTGGGGGGTCCGCTCCCTGCGGGGTGAAGAGCGGGAATGAAGGTGCGATTCGCTGGATTGGCGTTGTGACGGTCACGTCACATTCCTCCCCTCTTGCCAGCTCCTTTGGAGAGGGCTTTCCCCAAACACCCTCGTGATTTTTTTTTTTTTTTTTTTTTTTTTGCGCCACAGTTTTCTGCAGTTTTTAATAATATCTGACCCTGGGTTGGGCAGCAAAACGGTCCCAGTCCATTCCGACCTCCTTTTTTAAATTTCCTCCAGAAATGCCCGGTGAAGCCACAGAAACCGTCCCTGCTACAGAGCAAGAGTTGCCACAGCCCCAGGCTGAGACAGGTAGGACCCCCTGGTCCCCGTGCCCATCGTTAAAATTGTGAGGTTGACCCTAAAACCGTTCGCTGGGTAAAGTGGCAAAGAGAATACACTTAGGTCTTTCAAGAGCTCTCTTATCAAAGACGGTCCATAATCTTAAACTGCTGTCCTTGGAAGGGACTTCATGTGGGAGTGGGATAAAAACCGTATATTTACGCTTCAAGAACATTAAAAGCTCCCTGGCCTGTTTTGTCGGTGGAGCAATGAGAAAAACCGAGCTGGGCAGGGGCTCGGTGATTCTTACCTATTTGAACTTGATGACACACTGGCAGGCCCAGGAGACCTGAGCTTTTTAGCAAGTTCCAGCCAGCAAGCTGCATCAAGGTTTTAGATGGCAGAGCTTGGCGTTGGGCCCTCATCACATGTCTGGGTGCTGTGGTGAATGTGTCCTGGGACCAAGGACCCTCGTGGGTCGGTTTACTTGTTTTATGGATTGGCGATGAGATGTTCAACAGCTTGTCTGGAACCCAGAACTGAAATAAAGCTTTCCTTTGACTATTACTCAGGTTTGAAATTAATGAGTGTACAACATAGTGTAAAGGCAAAAGTTTTGAATTCTGGTTAAATTGCATCTCTCTAATACTTGTGAAAGGGAGTGGTGAAAATACTTTTTTAACGAAGATCTTGCTGAGTTGTGCAAAACGAAGGGAATCTTCAGGGTGTAATTTTTTTTCTTATAGTAAATTGATTTTTTTTAACTGCACCTGTCACTTAAGAACAATTCCCATCTTGTGGAAAATAGAGTTGTTTATAGTTGAAAGTGTTAAAGTTCCCCCTCTCCACCTGTCTGATTTCAGCAGCTGAAGAGATTAATACAGCTGCTGGTAAAAAAAAAAAAAAAAAAAAAAAAAAAAAGGGAAGGCGTCTCTGAGTTTGGGAATGAGCTATGTGAAATCTTTGAACTACAAGGGCCTAAAGGACTGCTCTCTAAAGATACTATAATTTGGTGCTAAATAAAAAATGTGTCTCGTTAAACAACTTGATTTTACAAATGTGGAGAGTGAAATTCAGAATAATTTGGTTTCAAGCTTCAAAAGGAATGCCATTAAATAAGTAAGAATGCCTGAGAAAACTATTTCAGGAAATAGGTTATGGTGTCTAAACCAAGTAATTTGGTCCTTATCCCATCAGAGGAAAACATTCTAAGTTTCAAATTCTGATTCTGTTTGAAAGCACTGCATTTTAATCATAAGGCTTTTTTACCTACCAACCCTTCAGGAAAAACTAGTTGAGCTGCCTGTCTTTTCTGTGCTACAGTACTTTAAGAAAATTGTGAATTTGCATGCTTCAGGCTTTTTTGTTTTATCTTAAATACTCCCTTCAAAATGTTGAGCATTTGTTATTCTACACCTGTGTTATCTCCTGAATAGTAAGCATGGATTTTTCTGTCATTCAGAATATTTTGCTTAGCTTTACTCTAGTGCCAGATACTGGTCTATTTTGACAGAATGACATACTTATCCACATTAAGAGGTGGTGATCATCCAATGTACTCTCTCCAGTGCAGTTCCCTACTTCCAAAATAGAACCACAGTCTGGCTTAACAAGTTAGGTTACAGTATTAAAATGCAGTCCCTGCCCTTGTGACTAAGCTCTCCCTGGCAGTCTAATTCATCTGAGATTGATGTTTGGAGGTAACATTACCTGAGAAGGTCTGGAGACTATGGAGTAAACTCATTCGTTCTTTTTGTTTGTTTTGGGTAAACAAGCTGAAGCACAGGGAGGCTGAGTGACTAATTTATTAGTTTAGTATTAAATTCTGAAGCGTTTCAACTTTATGAGAATTGAATTCTGCCAGACACCCGCTTCTTTAAGCTTTATTCAGAGTCTGTTTTTCCTGACCTAGTGGAAACCTGAGCATATAAAGACCTGTTTTTTTCTCCTTTAGCTCTGATTCCTCGTCATCACCAGCACTCACCACCTTCCTTATTCTGGTTGTATCTGTTTTAGTTAATGGTCCCTGGTGAACAGGGTGGAACAGCTGTTTTTGTGCTGGTGATTCTATGGCCTGTGAGAAAGATTTGGAGTTCATTTGAGGAAGGAAGGGAGGAGTGTGTTCTTATTTGACACCTGAAGTATGTTTCTGAAGGGTTGCTATTGCCTGTCACCTTTGTCTAATCCTGTGTGGTGACTTTCCTCAGATTAAAAATTCTGGTGTTTCTTATGAAACATGTTGTACCAACTTGGGCTGCATAACTCACCTTTATTTTTTTCCTTCCCTTGCCTTTATTCCCTTTTTTGCTTTTCTCCTCCAGCTGTGCTTCCTGTGTCTTCAGCCTTGAATGTCACTGCTGCCCTAGGGCAGCCTGTGCCAACCCTTCCCACTTGCTCCCTGCCCCCACAACAGAACCCTCTGGCAACACCTAACCAGCCTGCCCCATTCCTTCCTCCCTCTACTATTGCTTCTACCCCTTTTGAAGCTCCTTTCCCACAGGCATCCTCTGGGACAGCCCTGCCCTTGGCAGCTACTCCTACGCTCCCTGACACCCCAACTTTCCTACCAAACCTAATAGGGCCTCCCATCTCCCCTGCTGCCTTAGCTCTGGCCTCTCCCATGATAACTCCAACTCTGAAAGGCGCCCATCCCTCTTCAGCTCCCTTAACTCTGGTGGCCTTGCCTCCCCGCTCAGTTCAGAAGAGTTCTGCTGATCCACCTAACCCTGTTAGTCCGCCTCCTTCAGCTGCTGTGGCTAAGTCAGGGTCAGTGACACCTTTGTGGGCTCCCGTTACTTCCTCAGAACCAAAGACCTCTCCTGTTCAAGCTCCCTCCCAAGTAGTCCCTAATCCAAAAGTTACCCCCATTCCTCCATATACGGCCAGTGCTGTTCCTTCCCAGCTTATAACTCCCTTGGCCTCTTCAGTTCAATCTGGAGTGGCCTCATGTGCTCAGACACCACCCACTACTCCCCTAGCCATCGCTTCCCCTCAGGTCAAAGGCTCACCTATTTCCTCAGCTCTGACTTCACAGAGCTCTGTAAGCCTCAGCCTAAAGGGACCCCTTGGTCCACCTGCTGCCCAGTCTGTTCCTGTGCCTCCCAACGACCCCCCAGGTTTCCTCACTTCTATGGGCTCTCACCTTGTACCTTTACATCAGAGTTGTCTTGGTTCTTCTGTCCCATCTGTAGGTCAGACAGGCCCTAATGTTCTGTCAGATTCTATAGTGGATACCATTTCTATAAGCCATTCTTCCATAGGGGCCTCTTATCCTACTCAGCAATCTGTAATTTCTCCCCTTCCTTCCAGAAAGGAGGTGGTTCCTGCTGCTGTGGGGGCTCCCGCTTCCTCTCTGGCTCTATCTGTTGACAAGGGACTCTCTACCATCACTAGTGTCTCCTCCTACAGCTCTTCTGGTTCCTCAAGTGCAGCTGTCTCTTCTCCCTTAGCTCCTGCAGCTTCTCTCATTCTCAAAGGCTCTCCTAATGCCACGCAGCAGCAGCCCTTAGTGGCTCAGATGCCTCCTGCTTCTCTAGGAAGTCCAGGCTTGAAAAAAGCTCCTGTTTCTTCTGTTGGAACTACCTCTATGGTGATGACTAACCCCTCCACAGTTTCTGCCACACCTACCACCTTTGAGGTTGTAAATGCTACTTGTGCATCTCCTCCAATTTCATCAGGTCTCATAAGTAATAAGAACTCCGCTTCCCAGACTGCCTTGGCTGTGGCACCTGTGGCTTCCAAAGAGCTTCCTTCTCCTTGGGTAACAACTGCTCTGGAGACACCAGGCTCCCCTCCTCTGCCAGCACCTGAGGAACTCAAAAGTCTCCCTGCTTCACAGTTGGTCAAGTTCCCAACACAGAAAGATCACCAAACTGTACCTGCTTCTCCTGTAGGAACCCCTATTTCACCACCCCTGGCAGGACTTCCTACCAAGAAAGACCCTATTGTACTGCCATTGACGCTGGCTGCCCCTCAAAATCCTCCCTCTCCCCAAAGTACATCATCGTCTCTGGAAGTATCTCTTTGTCCTGACGTCACCTTAGCTAACAAAAGCCGAGTAGAGCCTCTGCCTGTAAGTAAGCCAGCTGCTGCTGCTCCCTCTCCTCTGGGTGCGATTCCCCCAGCCTCTCTACTCAAGACAGATCCTTATGCAAGTCCAGACCCCACCAGTCTGCTTCTCAAAGGTTCTCTTACTGCTCCGAGTGCAGCTACATTTCCTTTGGAAAGTGCTGCCGCTTCTGGGGGGACTCCTACAACTACCAAAGGAACCTCCACTCCTGCAAGTACAGCCAGCCCTTTTCTGGAAGGAACTGTCTCTTTAGCACCTAAAAGCCACCCCGCCAAGAAGGGTACTTCTGCTCTTACTACTTTTCCTTTGGTTCCTCCCACCTCTGAAAGCTGTTCTGTGGCTCCAGCCATGACGTTATGCCCTCAGAATGTTTCTGTTTCTCCAGCTACTATGGCACTATCTTCTGAAATTCCCAAATCGGAACCCTTTCCCTCTTTTCCCCCAGCTGGTACTCCTCAAGTTACAGAGACAGGTCCTAGTATTTCTCATTCCTCAGCATTGGCACTTGTGGCCTCCTCTCCTGAAGGATGCCCAACTGAGGCTGTTGGTTCTGTTGCTGCATCTTCCAAAGGAACTTCCCTAGCTGAATCCCCATCTTCTTTAGGGACTAGTGGGTCTTCTCAGACTGGAAGACCTCCAACCAAGAAGGCTTCTGCTACTTCTACTACCTTAACTCTTGCTCCCGTTTCTAAAACTGTACCTGCTATCTCTAATACTCCTGCTGGAAATCTCTCATCTCCTGTTTCTCTAATTGAAGCTCCCTTTCTTCCAGAGGCCAGTTTTTCTTTTCAAGTCCCTAAGGGATCACTAACCAAGAAGCATTCCCCCACCCCTCCATCCTCCAAAGAGGCCCCTACTTCCCCAGCTGCTGTCCCTCCATCCCCCAAAGGGGGGCCAGCAAAACCGTCCCCTAAAGAGACGCCTCCTCCTCCAGCTATGACTCCTTCTTCTCCCAAAGGAGCCTCAGCTACCCCACCTCCCAAAGAGGCCCCCTCTCCCCCAGTTATGACCCTTCCTTCCCCTAAAGGAGCTTCAGCAGCTTCATCCCCCAGAGAGTCCCCAGCTGCCCCACTCACCAAAGGGACCTCAGCAACTCCATCTCCCAGGGGCCCTCCAGCTACACCCCCGCCCAAAGAGTCTCCAACAACCCCAGCCCCCAGAGGGGCCCCAGGAACCCCACTCTCCAAAGGGGCTCCTACTCCCTCAGCTGTGGTTTCTCCATCCTCCAAAGAGCCCGCAGGGGACCCAGCAACTCCATCACCCAAAGAGCCCCCAACAGCTCCATCTCCCAAAAGAGCCCCAACAACTCCATCCTCCGAAGAGCCCTCAGATACCCTAGCCCCCAAAGGCCCAGCAGCTCCATCTCCCAAAAAACTCTCAGATACCCCTGCAACTCCAGCCCCCAAAGGGGCCCCAACAACTTCATCTCCCAAAAGAACCCCAACCTCCAAAGGAGCCCCAACAACTCCATCTTTTGAAGAGCCCTCAGATACCTTAGCCCCCAAAGGCCCAGCAGCTCCATCTCCCAAAGAGCCCTCATCTGCTACTACCCCAGCCCCCAAAGGGGCCCCAGCAGCTCCATCTCCCAAAAAACTCGCAGATACCCCCACAACTCCAGCCCCCAAAGGGGCCCCGGCAGCTCCATCGCCCAAAAAACCCTCAGATACCCCAGCAACTTCACCTCCCAAAGAGCCCTCATCGGCTGCTACCCCAGCTCCCAAAGGTGCCCCAGCAACTTCAGCCGCCAAAAGAACCCCAGCACCCAAAGGGGCCTCAGGTACCCCAGCCCCCAAAGGGGCCCCAGGATCTCCAGCCCCCAAAGAGCCCTCAGATACCCCAGCCCCTAAAAGAACCCCAGCACCCAAAGGGGCCCCAGCAACTTCAGCCCCCAAAGAGCCCTCAGATACTCCAGCCCCCAAAGGGGCCCCAGCAACTTCAGCCCCCAAAGAGCCCTCAGATACCCCAGCCCCCAAAGGGGCCCCAGGATCTCCATCCCCCAAAAAGCCCTCAGATACCCCAGCCCCTAAAAGAACCCCAGCCCCCAAAGGGGCCCCAGCATCTCCAGCCCCTAAAGAGCCCTCCGCTGCCCCAGCCCCCAAAGAGCCCTCAGATACCCCAGCCCCCAAAGGGGCCTCAGCAGTTCCATCTCCCAAAGAACTCTCCCATACCCCAACAACTCCAGCCCCCAAAGGGGCCCCAGCTCCCAAAGGGGCCCCAGCAGCTTCATCTCCCAAAGAGCCCTCAGCTGCTGCTGTCCCGGCCCCCAAAGAGCCCTCAACTACCCCAGCTCCTAAAGGGGCCCCAGCAACTCCACCTCTCAAAAGAACCCCAGCTAAAACTCCATCCCCCAAAGAGGTCTCGGCTACACCAGCCCCCAAAGCGGTTCCTACTCCTTCAGCCCCCAAAGGGGCCCCAACAACTTCATCCCCAAAGAAAACCCCAGCCCCCAAAGGGGCCTCAGCAACTCCATCCCCCAAAGAGCCCTCAGCTGTGACTCTTCCAGCGCCCAAAGACCCCTCAGCAACCCCAGCCCCCAAAGAGACCCCAACAACTTCATCCCCAAAGAAAACCCCAGCCCCCAAAGGGGCCTCAGATATGCCAGCTCCCAAAGACCCCTCAGCAACCCCAGCCCCCAAAGAAACCCCAACAACTTCATCCCCAAAGAAAGCACCAGCCCCCAAAGGGGCCTCAGCAACTCCATCCCCCAAAGAGCCCTCAGCTGTGACTCTTCCAGCGCCCAAAGACCCCTCAGCAACCCCAGCCCCCAAAGGGACCCCAACAACTTCATCCCCAAAGAAAACCCCAGCCCCCAAAGGGGCCTCAGATATGCCAGCTCCCAAAGACCCCTCAGCAACCCCAGCCCCCAAAGAAACCCCAACAACTTCATCCCCAAAGAAAGCACCAGCCCCCAAAGGGGCCTCAGCAACTCCATCCCCCAAAGAGCCCTCAGCTGTGACTCTTCCGGCGCCCAAAGACCCCTCAGCAACCCCAGCCCCCAAAGGGACCCCAACAACTTCATCCCCAAAGAAAGCACCAGCCCCCAAAGGGGCCTCAGCAACTCCATCCCCCAAAGAGCCCTCAGCTGTGACTCTTCCAGCGCCCAAAGACCCCTCAGCAACCCCAGCTCCCAAAGGGACCCCAACAACTTCATTCCCAAAGAAAACCCCAGCCCCCAAAGGGGCCTCAGATATGCCAGCTCCCAAAGACCCCTCAGCAATCCCAGCACCCAAAGGGGCCTCAGCAACTCCATCCCCCAAAGAGCCCTCAGCTGTGACTCTTCCAGCGCCCAAAGACCCCTCAGCAACCCCAGCCCCCAAAGAAACCCCAACAACTCCATCCCCCAAAGAGCCCTCAGCTATGGCAGCGCCCAAAGGGGCTCCTACTCCTTCAGCTGTGACTCCTCCAGCCCACAAAGGGGCCCCAACAACTTCATCCCCAAAGAAAACTCCATCCAAAGAGCCCTCAGCTACCCTAGCCCCCAAAGGTGGCCCAGCAATCCCGTCGTCCAAAGAGTCCCCTGCTTTAGTTCCGGTTACATGTCCCTTGGTATCCACTGCCCCTCCAGCATCTAAAGGGCTCCCAATAAAAGAAGGCGCCACAGCTCTCAAAGCAGCACTTGCTGCCCCAGCTTCAGAAAATGCACCAGTCACCATAGCTCCCACTCAGAAAGGGCCACCAGCCAAGAAGAGTTCTCCCGTGTGCCCAGATCCCTCAGCTAAGAAAGGACCCCTTCCTACAGTGGCTCCTCCAGCCCCTCTGCTGACAGCCTCCACTCAGAAAGGCACTTCTGCAAAGACTCCAGAAGTCCTCCCTGTTTCTCCCTTGAAGGGCAAAGATCCTCATTCTTCAAAGGGTCCCTTGGCTCCTCATCCAAAGTCTGAGACATCTGCACCTCTAGCAACAGCGGCTTCTGAGAAGGCCCTTCTTAAAGCTGGAGCAGCATCTGCCTCTCCAGCACCCACCCCACCAGTCTCTCTGCCTCTTGCTCCCTCCCCAGTTCCCCCTCTGCTTCCTAAACAGCAACCTCTGCCGTCCTCACCTGGGCTGGTGCTGGAATCATCCTGTAAGCCCTCAGCCCCCGCTGATGAGGATGAGCTGCCGCCTCTGATTCCCCCGGAACCAATCTCGGGGGGAGTGCCTTTCCAGTCGGTCCTCGTCAACATGCCCACCCCCAAACCTGCTGGGATCCCTGCCCCAACCCCCTCTGCCAAGCAACCTGTTCTGAAGAACAACAAGGGTATTTGCCTTGGTTTGCTGTGTGCATGGTGTGTCGCCCACACTCCTCCTGGGGGCTACCCACCATTACTAACCCTAGGATGAGCCACTTTGTCCAGAATATCTGCTTGTGTTTGAACATAGAATTAGAATGATCATTTTAAGTGCAAAAGCTGTAGGAATGTGGAACAATCTTGGTTTTCATCATTTCACATAATCCATTGTGTATCATCATGTATTATGGGGATCCAGACTAACCCTGAGTATCCATCATTTTATCTAACTGATGTGATGTTGAAAACCAAAGACCTACTAGACCTTAGTTTGCTCTAATTTCTACCACATCACTAACCTTTTCCCTGGGCCTGGGATTTGCTAAAATATTGGGAAGCTATTGAATATTGGAACTGTTTGAATTTCTGTTCACTTCTTAGAATTAGTAAGGACCAGTGCCCAGGGACTTCTTTGTTTAAAAGACCTGTTTTTCCTAGCCTGAGAATGGTGCAGGTGTATGCTTTTTTCCTTCAGTAGTCTATAGTGCTTGGCCTTTAAAATTGAGAACTTAAAATATATGAATTATGTTTAAAAGAAATGAGAGAGGTCACAGGACAATAAGTAGTAAAGTTGACTATTGGAACTGTAGGTTGGCATCATTGAGAATCTGTAATAAGTTACATTTATTAGGTCAAATTGCTGGGTCAGTAGTTAGAAAATAAGGCTAAATGTGTGTACATAACTGCTTCTGGCCTCCCCAAACCTAGTTTAAAGGATGAGGGGAAAGTTCTCTTCTTCGTCTGCTGCAACAATGTGAAAGTTTTTCACTTCGGTATATCTGCAGACACCTTGTCACCAGAACCTCTCTGGGATGGTTGGGCTATTGGGCAGTGATTGGAGTTACATAGGTCAGTGGTCGGCAAACTCATTAGTCAACAGAGCCAAATATCAACAGTACAATGATTGAAATTTCTTTTGAGAGCCAAATTTTTTAAACTTAAACTTCTTCTAACACCACTTCTTCAAAATAGACTCGCCTAGGCCATGGTATTTTGTGGAAGAGCCTCAAGGGGCCAAAGAGCCGCATGTGGCTCATGAGCCGCAGTTTGCCGACCACTGACATAGGTCATTGGTGTTTGCCTATGCCAAGAAGTGAAGACTTGAAGGAAAGGAAACAGTTATAGCATTTAAATTGTTCAGCTCAATTAGTAATTACCTCTCATTTCTGGGGCTGGGTCTTTAATGGGTGTATACACTCTAGTTTGTGGCTAAGTGGGGGGACTATCAAGCTGACTTTATACAAGTCAGTTGATTTACATTTAGCTTTACAAGGTTTGATATAAGCCAGTGGCCTCTAGTCTAAGCAGGCCATGATGACAAGCCTCCTTTTCATCTCCACTATAAATTAGTAAAAATTATTTTGCTTCCTAGGGTCTGGAACAGAATCTGACAGTGATGAATCAGTACCAGAGCTCGAAGAACAAGATTCCACACAGGCAACCACACAACAAGCCCAGGTGGGTATTCTCTTACTCATTGGTGTAAGTACTTGGAATAAGGAAGCACTGCAGAACCAGGGTTGGCAGAGAAGATGACTTGTATCTTTGGAGCCGTACACTTTCATAAAGGGAAAACTGGGGGGGGGGGGGGGGGGGTGGAATCCAAGTCTTATGTTTCTGCTTACCGTTTTCTTTTAGCTGGCTGCGGCGGCTGAAATTGATGAAGAACCAGTCAGTAAAGCAAAACAGAGCCGGAGTGAAAAGAAGGCACGGAAGGTAATATTTTAAGTTATGAACAAGGACCAGTGACTTCCTCTTTTTTTGAAAGACTATTTATGATGAAGCACCTTTAGAGGGGAGAAATTCTTGGTGGTAGTAGAATCATATTTAGTTAAAATAACAGAAGCTATTGTGGCAGGTGTCCTAGGAATCAATTCTTTATTCCTTTTTTTTTTTTTTTTTTTTCCCCTTTTTTTAAATATGTTTTATTGATTTTTTTACAGAGAAGGATAGTTAGAAACATCAATGAGAGAGAAATATCGATCAGCTGCCTCCTGCATAACCCCTACTGGGGATGTGCCTGCACCCAAGGTACATGCCCTTGACCGGAATCAAACCTGGGACCTTTCAGTCTGCAGGCCGACGCTCTTATCCACTGAGCCAAACCGGTTTCGGCTAATTCTGTATTCTTATATAAACTTGTCTTAGCCCAGAAAAAGGCTTTCTTTTGGATGTGGTATTATTATGGTCCTTACTTCCTGAAGCTGCTTCTAAAAAATTGAAAACCTCATGTTCTTTTGTTCCTTAGGCTATGTCCAAACTGGGTCTTCGGCAGGTTACAGGGGTTACTAGGGTCACTATACGGAAATCTAAGAATATCCTCTTTGTCATCACAAAACCAGATGTCTACAAGAGCCCTGCTTCAGATACCTACATAGTTTTTGGGGAAGCCAAGGTAAGGAAAGTTTTTGTGGGAATTGCTCTAGACCAGGGTGCTGAGCCATTGATATTTTGGATCAGTAATTCCTTGTTGTGGAAGGGCTGCCCTGTGCATTATAGCTGTTTTATTTAGCAGGATCATATCCAGTTGTGATTTAAAAAAAAAAAAAAAAAACACCCTCCAAATATTGGATAGCCCCTTCAGTTTGAAAATCACTGCTTTAAACATAAGCTACTTCTACATAAGCTGCTAGAATCTGAGTGAGGGCAGACTATTTAAAGCTATGTAACTATAGTAAGTTAACCTGAAGTGAGTTTAGAGTACACGTTTGGGAAATTTCTTCCACTTACTACAGACAGATCTATTCACACGAATCTCTTATTTTCTGTTCTACAGATTGAGGATTTATCTCAGCAAGCACAGCTAGCAGCTGCTGAGAAATTCAAAGTTCAAGGTGAAGCTGTCTCAAACATTCAAGAAAACACACAGACTCCAACTGTACAAGAGGAGAGTGAAGAGGAAGAGGTATATAAAGAAATCTTTTATACTTTTAATTCTCTCCAGAATTATGCTTGCATTGGTGGGTGGGTTCTATATTGTTTTAGTCTCTTAAATCCTATTGAGTGAAATAGTTTTTGAGTTAAGAGACTGATGACTCAAACAAACTATACTGAAGTTGTTCTTGTCTTTAGTTTATTACATGTATTTTCCCCTCTCTTAGGTTGATGAAACAGGTGTGGAAGTGAAGGACATAGAATTGGTCATGTCACAAGCAAATGTGTCAAGAGCAAAAGCAGTCCGAGCTCTGAAGAACAACAGTAATGATATTGTAAATGCTATTATGGTAAGTGTCCAAGCCTTTATCCTGACTCCCTGGAGTGACCTGACCAATTATGGTGACTTGATTTTCTTATGTTTATTATCAGCCAGTTAGGAGACCTCATTCCAAAGCCTGTCTTGAGATGCCTTAAGTTTTAGTGACCTGAATTCTGTCAGTTTGCCTATTATACCTCTGATTATCTCTTTTCTCTTACAGGAATTAACAATGTAACCATCTAAAAAGGAAGATACTTTTTGTGTGTGTTTCAAAAGAGTTACTACAGCTTGGTTTGAAATTTGTACTGTTTCTATCAATAAAGTTATGGCTTCTTGTGGGATGAACTCAGTGGGTGCTTGATATCTCTTCCCCCACCCCCCAGAAAGCATGAAGACTCTAGAAATGAGAGCACATTTAGTGCCAAGAGCTGAGCTTCAGCTGAAAAGATTTAGTGCCACAGATTACCCCTTAAAAATCTCAGCCTTTTCATTTTTTGTCAGAAGGAAAGTATTGTATGTACAGGCTGTTAAAACCTTTTTTTTTTTAATCTTTATTGTTGAAAGTATTATATATGTCCTCTTCTATCTTCCATTGACCACCTTATAGCTCACCGCAGGCCTTTGCCACCCTATTGTCTAGGACCTTCTTGTCTTCAGAAACTACAACTTAATTGTTGACTCTTGTTTTCAGCTTCTTTCCAAGGTGTTAACCGTTATTGCATGCTGATTCTTCATTTAATAATCGGGCTCTCTAACCTATAGTCTTTCTGAACATTTTGGACCTTTTCTTTGTGAGAGGCAATGCACATTGATAACATTTTGACATGTAAGAGCTTGATAGAGGATTGGAGAGATTGCATAATGGATGTGATGAAAAGACCACACTTTGTATAACAGCAGAAGCTACCTTATGAAGAGAAAGATTTTTAATGTTATATACAGAGCAAACATTTTGCTCTCACACATTGTAATCTATAGAGTAAATTATGATTAGGGTAGCCTTAATCATGCTAAAACAATGAGTGAAAACCAGAACTGTACCAAGCAAATGTACATGTGATAACCCAGTTTATATAAATGAAAATAGTGCTATAGAAGTCATAAGAAGAATAAAGTTAAAGTTTCTGGGTTTAGGTTAATATGGTCTGGGGTAAATCAAGGAACTAACATTTGGAAAGAGGAAGGCTACAAGTAACTTAGAAGCAAGAATCTAAAATGAATAAGTGATATACCTAGATTGTTAGGATGGTTAACATCATGGAATACTTTTTTAATAAATTTTTTTTAATTAAGATATTATATGTGTACATACCCCACCCCACCCCCACTCCCAAACAAGCCCTCCCTCCCCATAGTTTTTCCTTCATTGGTTATGCTTATAACATCATGGAATACTTAGACATTTTATTGAATCTAGTTTTCTTAGTTCCCATGAGCATTATTTTAATGATGTGAAAGCTAAGGACCAAAGACAGTCACTAAAAGTATTGTATGTAGTATCTTTTCTTTGTGGCAGGCTATCCTGGAGAAGCACAAGCTGAATCGTGTCCTGCTTCCATTTCACTGAGAGAATAGATTAGTTTCATTAGGCTAACGGTAGGCCCCTTGGCTGCCAGATCTGAGACAGCCAGTAATTCTCACTTCAGTTTCCTCATCATCTATACCGTTAACAAACTGCCAAATCTTGGTTACTTTTTTAGAGAATTGTCTTGTTCAGGGTTATTACAGCCACCAGTGCTGTATTCTGCTTCCCACCTCCAGGGCCTTGCTATTGCTAACTTTTTACCATTGATTCCTTGCCCTTAACCATTTCCCCCCACCATCCTTAAAGTGTACAGCTAACTTCCTTTGTCACAGAATGATTAGGGAGTGTATAGTTTAAACAAACCTTTTAAAGAGGAATTACTCCTAGTTCTCAAACTGATTAAATGTCTGTGTTCAAATATTTGGTAAACCATTTAACAATGATACTTTTAACAACTGGCTTCATCTATAAAAATAGACCTTCTACAAAACACATGGGATTATTGAAAGTATTTGCTAAGAATCTGAAACTGGCACGGGTTTACTAAATGGCCCTTATTTGAGGTGGGGGGAGGGGGGAGGATGTAGTAAACCAGTTTAGTTCCTTAGCTATATTCTCACCATGTTTCTACCATTGACTTAAAAATTGATTTTTAAATATTTGAAAGCATGTATTATAGATAAAATGCTGTTTGTACATCTGGTTTTTAAGAAAATAAGCATTAACACCCCCCAAAAAAAAATTGGGGACCCCTCTATACTCTCTCAGTTCTATTTCCCCCCTCACAGGTAACCATTATCATAAATTAGTTGTTCAATTTCTGTACATAAGTTGATGCTCTTAGTACCTATTTTATGTACCAAAAAAAGGTAGCATTCTGCAAATTTGAAAACTTTAAATAAAATTCTGTTATATATTACACATCTTCCTACACATTGCTTTTACTTCAACTTTATTTCCAAGAATTATCGATGGAGATAGATGTATTTCTTTTCATTACCTATCCAATCCACTATAGTCTGGCCCTTTTTTAAAAAAAATATGTTTTATTGATTTTTACAGACAGGAAGGGAGAGGGATAGAGAGTTAGAAACATCGATGAGAGAAATATCAACCAGTTGCCTCCTGCCTGCACACCCCCTACTGGCGATGTGCCCACAACCAAGGTACATTCTCTTAACCACAATTTAACCTGGGACCTTTCAGTCCACAGGCCAATGCTCTATCCATTGAGCCAAACCGGTTTCGGCTGTAGTGTGGCTTTTAACCTTTTCCTCCACCAAGTTAATGTTCTCATCAGGGTCACCTAGTTAATTCCAGGGGAGGGACGCTGAATGCATGGCTGCATTGGTCTTCCTCAAATTAGTTTCCTTAACATCACTCTTGGTTTCTCTCAACTCTGATTAATTTGAGATGCACAAAATTAGTTACATTATCTACCCCATCAAAATTTATCCATATAAATTTCCTGCTAACATGAACACCACAGCTAACCATTTGGTCATACAAAAAGGGAACCTAGTCTTTGGAACTAATGATGTTGGGGAAATGATATCCGCGTGCAAAAGAATGAACAAGTGGATCAAATTCCTGGAACCATTAAAAAAAAAAAAAAAATGGGGAAAGCTTAATGTCATTAACACCAAAAATTAGGTAAATTGGATTTCACCAAAATTTCTCCAAAGAAGTCAAGAGTAATAAGGCAACCCACAGATTGAAGAAAATACTTGCAATAAGGGATTGATATTCAGAAAATATAAAGAACAAAATATTTTTTTTTCTTTTTTTTTTTTCTTTTTTTTAAATCAATCTTTATTGTTCATATTATTACAAAGGTTCCTCATTTCTTCCCCCCTCCACCAGGTTCCCACCCCACCCTCCGTCCCCCCCCCATCCCCCATTGTCTTCATCCATAGGTGCAGTTTATGTTCAGTCTCTTCTTCCCTCAATTTCCCCAATAGTAAATCCCTTTTCAGATAGTAAATCAGTTACTTAGCATTTTCTCATATCAATAATACCTCCACATGCCCAATGATACACTTCACACAAAAGACATTTCCCACTAGGTCAACCAGCCTCATCCAGGCCCCACCCAAGGCACTCACAGATCAACACCCCAGTCCTAAACTAACTCAACACATCCAGATCTAAGCCTTCATCACTTGATTCAGCAGACCCTCAAGTTCCCACGAAAGTTTCCAGCCATGTCTGAGAAGCAGCCGTGGGGCAGGGGCAGGCAAGGAGCGAGCTGTTCTGGGCCTGGCTGCTCAGGGCCTGGCCTCTGTTGCTCTGGTTCATTCCACAACCAGCTGCTCCGGGTCTGGTCACTGCCGCTCCCGACCTAGTTGCTCTGGACTTGGCTGCTGCTGCTCCGGGCCTGGCCGCTCCCAGCCTGGCAGCCGCTGCTCCGGGCCTGGCCGCACCCGACCCGCCTGCTCCCCCGGGCCTGGCCGCTCCCAGCCTGGCAGCCGCTGCTCCGGGCCTGGACGCACCCGACCCGCCTGCTCCCCCGGGCCTGGCCGCTCCCAGCCTGGCAGCCGCTGCTCCGGGCCTGGACGCACCCGACCCGCCTGCTCCCCCGGGCCTGGCCGCTCCCAGCCTGGCAGCCGCTGCTCCGGGCCTGGCCACACCAGTCCCGCCTGCTCCCCCGGGCCTGGCCGCTCCCAGCCTGGCAGCCGCTGCTCCGGGCCTGGCCGCACCTGACCCGCCTGCTCCCCCGGGCCTGGCCGCTCCCAGCCTGGCAGCCGCTGCTCCGGGCCTGGACGCACCCGACCCGCCTGCTCCCCCGGGCCTGGCCGCTCCCAGCCTGGCAGCCGCTGCTCCGGGCCTGGCCACACCAGTCCCGCCTGCTCCCCCGGGCCTGGCCGCTCCCAGCCTGGCAGCCGCTGCTCCGGGCCTGGCCGCACCCGACCCGCCTGCTCCCCCGGGCCTGGCCGCTCCCAGCCTGGCAGCCGCTGCTCCGGGCCTGGACGCACCCGACCCGCCTGCTCCCCCGGGCCTGGCCGCTCCCAGCCTGGCAGCCGCTGCTCCGGGCCTGGACGCACCCGACCCGCCTGCTCCCCCGGGCCTGGCCGCTCCCAGCCTGGCAGCCGCTGCTCCGGGCCTGGCCGCACCAGTCCCGCCTGCTCCCCCGGGCCTGGCCGCTCCCAGCCTGGCAGCCGCTGCTCCGGGCCTGGCCGCACCCGACCCGGCTGCTCCCCCGGGCCTGGCCGCTCCCAGCCTGGCAGCCGCTGCTCCGGGCCTGGCCGCACCAGCCCCGCCTGCTCCCCCGGGCCTGGCCGCTCCCAGCCTGGCAGCCGCTGCTCCGGGCCTGGCCGCACCCGACCCGCCTGCTCCCCCGGCCTGGCCGCTCCCAGCCTGGCAGCCGCTGCTCCGGGCCTGGCCGCACCAGCCCCGCCTGCTCCCCCGGGCCTGGCCGCTCCCAGCCTGGCAGCCGCTGCTCCGGGCCTGGCCGCACCCGACCCGCCTGCTCCCCCGGCCTGGCCGCTCCCAGCCTGGCAGCCGCTGCTCCGGGCCTGGCCGCACCAGCCCCGCCTGCTCCCCCGGGCCTGGCCGCTCCCAGCCTGGCAGCCGCTGCTCCGGGCCTGGCCGCACCCGACCCGCCTGCTCCCCCGGGCCTGGCCGCTCCCAGCCTGGCAGCCGCTGCTCCGGGCCTGGCCGCACCAGCCCCGCCTGCTCCCCCGGGCCTGGCCGCTCCCAGCCTGGCAGCC